ATTGAGTCCTGAAATTCAAGTGGTTTGTGCATTACGCAACTGGGCTCGCCATGAAGTAAGTGCTGTTTATAATCTTGGTGGGGTCAATGTACCTAACATTACGCTAGATAAAAAGCCAAATAATACATATTATTGTTTTATTCGTAGATTCAAGACGATACAGCTGATTTACATGGTGTGTCTCAACCAGTAGTAAGTAGGACATGTAAAAAAGTAGCGGAAATTTTGTCACGGAAGCCCTGAGAATTTATTAAAATGCCTACTACTTTAAATGAACAGCAGGAAACCATTAGGAAATTTCGCAGTATTGCTAATTTTCCTACAGTAATTGGCGCAATTGACTGTACTCACATACGAGTAAAGAAAGTGAATGCTGATGGGGGTCAGTTATATATTAATAGAAAAGGATTTTCTTCAATTAATGTACAGGTAATATACAAATATTTTAAATAGCTGTGATTGTCTCTTAATAACTTTACTTTATCATAATAGAAAATAATTTGTTTGACTATCTTATGGTAATAAATATATATTAAAATAAACCAGAAAAACATAAAGTACTAATGAGCTCTTATTTTACAGGTGGTTTGTGACGCTGACCTGAAAATCATGGACATTGTTACCAGGTGGCGTGGTAGTGTACATGACTCCAGAATATTCCGAGAATGTAGACTAAAACAGAGGTTTGAGGCTGGTGCATTCTCTGGAATATTACTTGGTGACAGTGGCTATGCTTGTACCCCTTACCTATTTACACCGCTGCTGAACCCCACAACACCACAAGAAGAAAGATATAATAGGAGCCATATCTGTACCAGGAACACAGTGGAAAGATGTTTTGGTTTGTGGAAGCAACGGTTTCGTTGCCTATTAAGAGGTATGTTTGGAGATATTGAAACAGCAAAAAAAACAATTGTTGCATGTGCTGTACTACACAATATGGCCATCGACATGAGAGAAGATGTGTTTCCTGGTGAGAGAGATAGCATTGAACAATATTCATCTGAACCTATAGTACAAAGATATATTGCACCATCAATAAGGGGAAATATTAGAAGAAGACAGTTTATTGAAACTCATTTTCAGTAGGTAAACATTTTTTTTTTACATATTTATATAGCTATTTATAATTAAAATTAATAATTATATTTATAAAATTGTCAATTTTTTTTCAATTGTCTAAAGCTATGTATATATAATTTATTTTATTTTGTTATTCAGAGGCCAATTTTGGCTATAAAATTACATTAAGGATCAATAAATGTATAAGACAATTATAATAATATTTCTTTTTGATTTCAGAGATAATACCCATTTATAAAGGAAAATATTTCTGCAGAGCCGTTGTCAGCTGTCAAAGAATAACGACTACATATTCACCAATATGAAATAAATTCAGGGTAGTATTGTGATAATATTTCATTTATTGAGCAAAATGCTTTTATTTAGGCTATAAATGATTGTGTTTCAGGGAAAGATGCGGGGTACAGCACATTCCACATCAATATGAAGCTATATTATATAAAGATTTAAGTGCTTTAGAGATATGTTTAGATTTTTTAATAAATATCGTCCCTCCTCTACATTCACAGCCGGATTTCCTTTCCAGAGGTGCACGGGTCCACGGGGAGTAGGACTGTATGATGACTAAGTAATTAGGTTTAGTTTTTTTTATTATAGTTTTTTACTATTGTATATTATATTTCACTGTTATGTAAATAAAATGCATATTAATTATAATTATTTATTTTAATTATTAATAAAAGATGTACAAATATTTGCAGCAATTTAGTACCTGAAAATAATTGTTTCATATATGAGGATATTTACAAACATGTATCTGATATAGTCTCAAATATTTAGTTTTTTTATAGGATAATGGTGATAAAACACAGTCTACCACACACACATACACACACACAGTCCATCTGATGTTAAGTAACTGCTGTGGTGCATAGACGTCCACATCTATCCTCGACTACAAATCAAAATGCAGATGCGTTGTCACCCGTGTGGAGTAAGATGGAATGCCTCGTTTCCTGTAAAAGAGGTCTCTCTCATACAAAATTTGTACAAAAATTTATCCAAAATTTGTCAATAAACAAGTTTAAATGTTTTATTAAAGAAAAATTTTATAAAAAGGTTATTATAATATCAAAGAATACATAAATGAGAATATTGGAAATACTGGAATTGAGGTGATCGCCACCATGGTGGTTCTATTAAAATTCATTTAAAAATTGTACAAATAAAATTATTGTTAAGAGAAATATGTTTATAAAAAAGTCCCGCTGGGTTTCTTACTAGTTCTTCCCAGGACTGAGGTATTTTCCGAACCAGTGGTAAATAAAAAATGTCTTTCAATAAGTATTCTGTAATAATCTATATTTAATAAAAATCATTCTATTCTATTTTCATTCTATAAACTCACCATAATAAACACAGCAGCATTAAGCTGCTATTTAACTTGTGTTTTTCTGACTTTCTAATAAAAATATTTGTAACTCTAATTTTCTAATTTTTAGGTTAGCTATTTTAATATTGTATTTATGTTCCTCTTCCATCATTTCCAGTTGTCTTTTTTTAAAATCTGTGTTACTTTTTACAATTGTTTGGTGTACATCTTCTCTTCTGTAAAATGAAATGGAATACTTAATGTAAGTTTTGTAGTTATTTTAGAAATTTACAAAGTATTCTAGAGTAATAAAAGTGCACTTAACCTTGTACACCAATTAAAGAAATATTTTTTAATTATTTTTAAATCAATTCATATTAAACTTTGCTTTTAATATTTGAAAACATGAAACAATTTTCAGTGTTTAAATACTAATTTTCACATTTTAAAAAGTATGTAATGTATCAGACTATGTAATTTTTTCAACATACCTATTTTGCAAGCTATTTTTCCTGTTTTTAATTTTTGTTATACCCCTAGTAATAATATCTTTATTGTTGGTTATTTTCACCATTTTGGCACTTTCTTCTGTATTTGTAGTTGGATCTATCTCTAAAAATTAATATAAATATAACAGTTTTAGAAAATTAACATTTATAATATTTACAAACTTGTATGCATATGATTGTAACTATAATAATAATATATTTTGCTTTTTAATAAATATTCAATCAGTATTATTTACCTTGCACATATACAACATTGGGTTCTGGATTTTCTACATTTTTAACTATAGCTGTGTCTGTTTTTTCAAAATTAAGGCGAGGCTTAGGGTCAGCAACTTCTTTTGATGTTGTAGCCACAGTCACTGGATCCTAAAATAAATCATTAAAACATTTATTAACATGTTTTCCTGTCACCTGTCATCTCTATTTTGCCCTTTATTGAATCAGGTATTTTCTATGTTGTAGAAATATTATTATGATCCAAGACAAAAGGTAATTTAATAAATTATTAATTATAATACCTAATAGAAAATTATAATCGGACTGTGTAGATAATCTAGTAAAATGTGTGTTATGATATTATATAGACCACTATATATGAATTTGTGACATTTCAATTTTGAATATAATTAATTATAAAGGAATTTATGTTAAATTGTTACTAAGTATATTAAATTTTGAATATTCGGAAAATAATTTTGGATTGTAAATTGTATGCTTTAAGAGTAGATTTCAGAGCACTACCTAGGTACTAAAGTAATGGAAAATAAAGTTCTTTAATTTTAATTAAATTTGTAAGACATGTAAGTAATTTTATTTACCACTGCATCACTATCATAATTATTAACTTCAACGATAAAGTCGTGAGGGGCAATGGACATTATTTCCAAGTCCTCAAGAGAAGGTGATGGAGGTTTTCCGCCACCCCCGGTCTTTGATTGTTCCCTCCTATATGTGTATAAGTTTGATTTAGCACACAACTTCATTCTTTTCCAAGATAATTTCAATTCACCATCTGATCGGCGTTTACCTGTTAGCTCATTAAATCTAAAAAAAATAATACGAAATCACGTAAACAATACCGTACCTATTTGTACACATAACAAATGCGATAAGTACTTACTTATTAGTTATATTCTTCCACTCTTTTATTTTTTGAATATTTACCGATGTTTTTGTCGACTTATTCTCTATTATATGTGCTGATTGTGAAATAAGTGTACGTAATATTTCCTATAATAATAAGAACATTCCTTTTAGTTGAAATAAGGATAATAGGAGGATAAGAGTATTGCTACGTACTGACAAATAAATTTCGATATTTCACTAACTTTTTCTTCAGAACTCCAATTTTCACCCCGTTTTTTCTTTTGTTCCATTATTATATAAATATAATTGTAATAGCAAGTACTTAATTAATTATTAATAATTTAATTTACTTATTATAAGGCTGCAATATAAACTATTTTGAACGTCTCGAATCCCGCGCTCGCGTTACCTCTGTAATTCACTACATTTCACGCTAGAGTTGTTAAACTGAAAACAACTTGATATAATCAAAAGCGCGTCAAAAGTATATGTCGTGCTTGTTCAATAGATTTTAACGTAAACAAATAACAATGTATGATATGTTTTTGTATTGATGGATAATTATTTAAGCATAATTAAATGTGAAAATAATATTAATATTTTATGAAACCGAACGTTGCATTGAATGAAACCTGTATGAACGAATGATAGAGTGTCATTTTTTGTTTTTTATCTGTGAATGATATTTAATATAATACTAACGTTGGTATTAACTGGTCCTCGGGTAGTCTGCGTTTTGTAATAAGCACACGTTTTAGTGCTGGTATTAACTAGAATATTGTAACAAACCTGGACTTCTTACTCCTAAACTTAACCCAGTACTAAAACATTTTTTTGGAATAAGACTGTAAAAGTTTATTCATTTATTTCTGAGTAAAATATATCACAAATCATATCTGAGTAAAATATATACATTGTTAATAATCTTAAATAAAAAAACAACACAATAACTATATAAATCTAATTAAAAATGAAAACAAAAGAACAATAGTTTTAAAAACAAATATATTTCAGGTTGCACTCCGACTTCTCCAGAGGCGATCGATAAGGTTATTTCTAACCGTAATCCCCTCTCGAAGCTCTGGATTTTGTGCGGCCCTAGAATTTACTGCAGAATCCTGGCGAGGAGTAGTCAACTGTTGCAATTCATATTCCCGCAAAGCTTCCTCTGGCTGCAGCTCTTCTACACTGACATTAGCCTTATTGCATATGTTGTGCAATATCACACATGCATTTACAATAGAAGCTGCCATGTGAGGCTCATAATGTAACACTCTGTGCACTAGTAGACATCTGAAACGTGCTTTCATTAGTCCAATTGTGCGCTCAATTACATTACGTGTTCTCACATGCATGTCAGTGTAGTATCCTTCGGGGGTGTTTGGGGGAGCATCAACAATGGGTGTCATTAAGTATCTTCTTAAGGGATACCCAGAGTCACCTGTAAAAAAGTACTAAATAATAAAATTTTGGCCAAATTATAACCCACTTTTTTGTATATATATCTTTTTATTATGTAAAGTCCCTACCAAGAAGCCATATTGCCTCATTTGTGCTGAGGTCTTCCATGTGTGCCTTCAAAGGGTGATTAGACCATATAAAAGCATCATGAGAAGCTCCTCCATAGCTTGCATCCACACTGATAATATCCATGTCTGCATTGCATATCTAAAATATTGGTTTTAAATTATTTTTAACAACACCTAATAATTAAAACGGTTTAAGTAAATATTTTATTTATCAATAAAATATTTTGATTAAATTTGTGGTTTTATTACAATACTTCTTACCAATTGCACATTTAAAGAATGATATTGTTTTCTGCAGTAATATCTCTCTTCATTTTGTGAAGGACGGACCATTGCCACATGTGTACAGTCAATGCAGCCTAAAACTCCAGGCATCCCAAATTTGTTGTAAAATCTGCAAAGACATTTAATCACTTATATATAAGTCTCTGCTAACCTTGTTGCATGATATAGTGGTAAATATTGCATTGCCCATGTTACTAATGCAACTAACAAATATTAGTACTAATGAGCATATTATTCAAGCTCAATGGTTCATAGAGTGGTTGTTATTATAATCAGTTAAAATTAAATATTAAATTGGTTACCTACCTTAAAATGTTAGCCCTACGCTGTGCTGCATCTCTCGGGAATCTTATATATTTTGACCTCAATTGAGGCATGTTTAGGCCCTGCGTTACTTGACCTAAAACAGCTGATACTGTCTGTTGTGGCACGGAGTGAGCAGCTATGTCCCCAATTGGTCGCTGATACGATCCCGTCGCATAAAAAGACAGTGCAATTAAGATCTAAAATAATTATAAGAAATGATGAGTATGAATTTTTTCTAAAACAACATTAAATATCACTTAGTAATTTTTTACTAGTGATGAATAATTTAACTAATACTCAACCTTGGTTTCGATCGACAAATCAGTAAACTTAGCAGGCTTTGTCATAAAAGGTCTTAAATCATCACAAAGTTCCAACACTAAGTTTTTGCTTAAGCGATATCTTTTTATGAATTCATCGTCATCAATCGAAAACGAGTCCATTTGGCTGCGTAATATTGCCCTTTCAATTTTGTCTTCCACAATTTTGCTTTTGTTGTCCTCTTCGAGGAACTCAAAAATTTCGTATTCATCAGACACTGAAATTAATGCACAAATATTAGAGAACTTTAAGACGTACATGTAAATAATATATCACTTTTAAAGCAAAAAACCTAATTTAGCATGTATGAGTTCATGAAATACTTACTATTATAATATTAAAATATTAAACGATTCAGAAAAAGCTCCCACCAAGCACCTTTTATTGAAGTGTTTAATCTGACAGCTATACTGTTCAATAAACGGGTCACAACTCTGTTACAAACGTCAAAAGTGAGTTCATAGTACCGATTTAAAACGTTGAGCTAGCTTGCCGGCCACTGAATCACTGAAATGTTTCGTTACGTCATCACAGGCTGGCCTGCAATAAGACGCGTTCGTAGTACGAAAAAGCAAGGCAGTTCAGTTTACGGTCTTAAACTGACCGGCAATAAGACTTCGTAGTAGGCCCCCTGTTCACTTTTGCCATGAAGCAAATATCTGGATGACTCTTGCACACATTGTAATCAGATGAAACTACTACTATTAGAATGTCGCTAACAAGTTATTTCATCATCATTATTATATCGCTGCACGTTTTACGAACGACGTTGACATGAAGCCGTCCGAGCATCTGGTGCGATTATTTGTTTTAATAGTATGTAATATATCATATATTTTATACGTGGTAGAGCCATGCTGCAGCTAAATTAATTGTATAGCTGTAGCACGTATTGGTCGGCTCGACTGGGGAAGGGCCATGTTTACGCATAATACCAGCTTAAAAATAGTAGCTTAATGCTGCTATGTTTTGTATGGTAAGTGTAGAGGAACCGGGGACTCTTTTTACTGGAAACGAGGCATTCCATCTTAGCCCTCACGGGTGACAACGCGTCTGCATTTTTTATCGTTATCGAAAATAGATGTAGATTTCTATGGGCCACAGGAACCACTTACCATCAGGTGGACTGTGTGCTCGATAGAGGTGGACTGTGTGCTCGATAGTCACCCTTAACCTATAAAAAAAAATTGTATAGATGTGTGATGAGGCGATGTTGATTTCAATTTATTGAGTGGTTGATGATCGTGATCCACACTTATTGTCAACCTGTAATATTTGGGCATGTTTTTTCGCCGTTTCTTCTCCAGACGGAAGAACTTAATTTTGAAATGGTAGTAGCGCGGAACGGAAAGTAGTTGATTAAAGAACACTAGGTTTTTTTATTTCATTCTCTGCCACAGTATGAAGGATTTACTAAAATCGGCAGGCGAAATGTCTATTGGCTATCGCAGTAGGTACCAGACGTCTCGCACCTTTGATGCTGCTACCCGTCGCCGATCTGGATACTATCATCTGGTATAAATGAGGGGGTTATACCGCCATCTATTTGGGGGCTTGAGTAATCTCCAACATTTCTCAAAGTTACCTCTTACGACACCCGCGGCGTGATATGACGTGTTGATGATTATTCTCTTACATCGCGGCTGGGTGTCGTAAGAAGCGACAGTCCCTATGTCGCCCCAATGAAACAGAAAATGGTCAGCAGCATAAAATAAATAAAAACTGCGGTTGCAATATATATATATATATATATATATATATATATATATATATATACATATACATATACATCTATTTTATATCTTTTATATTATATATTCACCTCTGGCGATTCTCCGAATCGGATCCACTGAGACTTCATGGATATAATTTTACAAAGGGAATACTTGATCAGCTTGTTAGAGAGCTTTATCTAAATGTCATTAGAGCATTTATTGATCGGGCATTTGAATTATTTTAATATTATCTTAATGAAATGGAGACTAATCACGACGTTCCGATTTAATGTTATCAATGCAATTAGTTAGATTAGAGTCATTGATCAACATAAATATTTAAACTAACAACAGGGTTATTTTTTGTTTTATCAGTCGTCAAAATCTCTTATGTAATGCTTCAATCAGCTTATTGTGGGAAAGGGCTTTTTTTAAGTTAACCAGAATTTCCTATTAATTAACACTAATAAAACCATACGAATCCGTAACCAAAGAAAGAAACTTTCAACTAGAATATTTTCTAGCATTTAAAGTGAAATGAATTATTTGGTAAATTATTATATGGACAAAATACAACGAAAACGTCTTCTTGATATAACCTTTCATGTCGAAAATAAGATCCACAAAATCCTAATCGCTTTTTCATGTTCGTTTTTACATCTGAATCAAATTAAAGATGACAAATAGACTTAAATAACTTAAAATGTTTGATACGTAGGTATACGACAGTTAACTGTTATCTTTAATTAACTGAGATCGAGTTTGAGTTTAGTTTTGGTTTCCACTTACTGCGACGAATTTAATAAAAATGTTTTAACATCTCATCTAGAATAAATGGGATAGCAAAAACTAGAAGTTGCAAATAACTTTGATTTGAATAAGCAGCTGAAATAATCATTGGGCTTGTTCGGTGTTTAAAACTTGAAATTTGTTTAAAATTGAAATTTGTTTTGTTTGCTTAAATTACGTATACTTTTATTATAAAATATGCTTCGATTACCTTTAGGTTTATTCCTTTTCATTTTTGATATTTAAATATTGGATCATTCCCTTTAAAATTATAAAAAGTGTATACCTGTGGAGTTTAGTTCGCAGTCTCTTTTCCGGGCAGAGGAAACTCATTTTGAAAGAAAAGAAATTTTATTCTTTTAAATTGGCAAATAAAGAGTTTTAATTAATTTTATTTCTGTGAGGAGGTTACTTTTATTTTCGTCATATATAATAAGAAAATAAAAAATAGTCTTGTTTTTTATTTTATTTATTAAAGTTTACCAATGTTTGATTAACTAAGTGTAACAATCGTTTAAGGTAAACACCACATGCATCGAGAAAGATTATAAATACGAATAAAAAGAAATATAATTATTAATTACCTAATAATGAAAATAAGTATATGGTAAAAAAAAAATATAATTTATTTGTTGGTTTCAGACCAGGCTAAAGCTAGAACTTTCTTAATTTTGGCAAATGAGTCGGCGTGAATGTCAACTAAGTCACTATGTCTATTGACCAATTTGCACAACCTTGGATTTGGGGAGTTTGCACCTAAGACAGATTTCCTAAAAGGAGGGCAAAGCGGAGTAATGGGAGCGCAAAGAATTCTTAATGGAACACGAAATTTATATTTTTGGAGCAAGGGGGGACAGTTAGTTTTTTGGTTAAAAATTTTATCAAGAAATGGCATGTCCAGAAAATTTCTCCGATTTTCCAGGGATAAAATTTTTAAAGAATCTTAATCGTTTTTTGTAAAACCGAATTTTTTTGTGAATCCCATTACGATAGGCCAAATTTGCTACGAACTTTTTTTGCAGACGTTCCAATCGTAAGGAGTGTATCGCGTAATGTGACTTCCATACTACACTGCAATATTCAATTATGCTTCGTACGAGACTGTTGTACTGTAGGATTTTAACGTGATTATTTTTAAACACTTTAGCGTTACACGCGGTAGCAGTGAAACCTTCAATGGAATAAAATATAACACTAGCAATGCCATTAACATTAGTAATATTCCCTTTAACCAGTACTGGTAAGCTGAAAACGTTGTGTTAGGAATGGTTAAGACAGTAGTCGAATGGCAGATTTCGAACCCACAACCTTTTGAGTTCGCGGTCCGCACCCTGCCATTGGGATACTGTCGCTTACTACACTGTATTCTATCTCATTCTCTCGCAGGCTGAATCCTATACATGTACATGTTTTTGTGTGTCGCTTTTTCCTTTCATCGAGTTTCAAATCACGATTCTAAAGAAGTTTTCATTGCAAAAATATTTTTTGATGAATAAATAAAAATAAAATTGAAAATAAAACTTCACAATTTTTTCTTTACGTACAACATTGCTTAAGCTGTTTTACATTGCTACTATTTCATTTTTGTCGCTACATTTAGAAAATGATCAAAGGAAACTTCAGTGTGTTGTTTTGCCAACAGGTGGATGCATTCGGCGCGTGCTCGCGTTTTGTCAGGACCGCGCCGCCCTGCCGCCATATAAAACGTAAGTTATTGCCTATTTCATTATAACATTGAACACAAACAAGTAAACCTAATCAATTACGTAAGTAAACTTATTAAACGATCTTATATTCCGGTGGGTGACGGTGTAATAGAATCTATTAGGTACCTTATTTTAATGGTTGTCATAAGAAGCGATTATAGCAAATGCCAGAAAGATCCTATGGCTTTTGATGGTGGTATATAATTTTAAATCTTTACTTAAATAAGGGTCGGAGTTCATTTATAATGTAGAC